TAGACAGCCCATTGTGTAGCTTTGTGCTTAATTACAAGCAAACAAACAAACAACCTTAATGTGTAACCTGTAATCATTCTTAATGTGTAATTTGGAAACATTCTTAATGTCTACCCTGTATAACTAAAAGTAACCCAGAATGTGCTTGCATCTTGCGATGACCAGAGTCGCGTCATAACTGGAATAGTATAAAACATCCTCTTTTAAAATAACTTCACTCACAAGTAAACATAATGTAATACAAAGTTGAATATTTTTGTACTGAGAGTAAAGAGCAAAGAAAAACATTACACGTTTGCTAGAAACACTAGTATATATCAGTTGAACTGTTTTCAATGGTAAAAAGTCAAAATAGATGGCAGCACATGCATGCAATAAACGCATTGAAATCATGCTAGCAACATTAAGTTTCATATTTCTTCAAACGTCACGATTATTATAAGTCCTCAACGAAACTAAATTTTTGATGCGTTTATACGTACGGAAAATGTATGAAACATTCTTTAAATATTACACAAAGTAAGATTTAAACATTGATAACTAGGTAAGAAATAATATGCATGAAAAAATGAAGTCTAGAAGTTTGAATAAAGGTGGGAGCCATTTTTTAACTGTGTGTGTATATTTGTTTATATAAATTATTCGGTAAGTTATTATTTACATACTTTATATTCGTATCCGGAAGTATTGTTAACAAACTCTCAAGCAAACAATCCATGTCCAGAATAAAATCAAATACTGTCTGGTTTCAGAACTCTGGGAAATACAATACACACAGGGTGCCCGGAAATTAAGTTAACACAATTGTTTAGTTGTATTTTAAAGAAAGGAGCCTTGAAACTATGCTACAATGACTACTAGACTAATGAGGGTACATTGTAGCACGTATGAAACATCATGACAACGTAACACAGTCTAACAAGAATTTCAAAACATTCACAAATAAATGTTTAGGACAACCCGTGCATTGACTCAACGTATAACGTGTATATGTTTTTTATGTACATGCATTGAAAACAACCAGACAGTTTTGAAAATAAAAATGCGACACAACAAACATACAATCCATCTTGTACCCAGATAGCAGTTCCAAAATGCAGCAAATATTAACATGCCGCTGCAATTAGTTTTTTTTTGGGGGGAAGGATAGAACCACGGATTTTAGCATTGTAAATCCGTAGAGTTACTGCTGTCCCACTTGGGAACCGGTTACAATTACAGAAGAAAATTATGCCACTACGTCGGTGACTTTTGTCCACTTGGAATCCCAATGTTCAAATGCTGTTTTTCATAAAATAAAAAAAATTAAATTTTATTATTAATGACAATTTATGCGCACGTGGGCTAATCAGCCATGTGAGGCAATAGCACCACAAAACCCGGCTCTTCAATCCGCCGCCACATGTTAACTGGACCATGCATCCCTGGTCCACATAAACATTACAGAATCAAAATAAAGCACTGCCAGTGAACTAAGTACAGTACTTGCCACTGAACTAAGTAAAGCACTCCCAGTGAACTAAGTACAGTACTTGCCAGTGAACTAAGTAAAGCACTCCCAGTGAACTAAGTAAAGCACTTGCAGTGAAATAAGTAAAGCACTTCCAATGAACTAAGTAAAGCCCCCTAGTGAACTAAGTAAAGCACTCCCAGTGAACTAAGTAAAGCACTCCCAGTGAACTAAGTAAAGCACTCCCAGAGAATTAAGTAAAGCACTTCCAGTGAAATAAGTAAAGCACTTCCAGTGAAATAAGTAAAGCACTTGCGGTGAAATAAGTAAAGCACTTCCAATGAAATAAGTAAAGCACTTCCAGTGAACTAAGTAAAGCACTCCCAGTGAAATAACTAAAGCACTTCCAGTGAAGTAAGTAAAGCACTCCCAGTGAACTAAGTAAAGCACTCCCAGTGAACTAAGTAAAGCACTGCCAGTGAACTAAGTAAAGCCCCCCTAGTGAACTAAGTAAAGCCCGCCAGTGAACTAAGTAAAGCCCCCCTAGTGAACTAAGTAAAGCACTCCCAGTGAACTAAGTAAAGCACTCCCAGTGAACTAAGTAAAGCACAGCCAGTGAACTAAGTAAAGCCCCCCTAGTGAACTAAGTAAAGCACTCTTAGTGAACTAAGTAAAGCACAGCCAGTGAACTAAGTAAAGCCCTCTTAGTGAACTACGTAAAACATTGCCAGTGAACTAAGTAAAGCACTCCCAGTGAACTAAGTAAAGCACTCCCAGTGAACTCCCTTAAGGTGTAATGCACTGCAAACAATATTACAACGTATGATGACTTCTATATGGAGTAATGCACTACAGGCAACATTACAACGCATGATGCCAATACGCCATATTGACTGCTTTGGGTCAAGAACTGTTGTGTTTTGATGGTTCAGCTGAGTAAAGTTTATTTGTTTCAGAATGTTAGCGCAAAACTACACAAAGATTATCTGCGCATAGGTGTCCCTAATTTTGCGCTATTGTCGATTAACGAATATTATGAATTGATTGTCGCTCTTATATTGTGCGCACGGCCCCAAAATGCGTCTGTTTTTGTTTTTTGTGGCAACGAAACACGAGCCATAAAACCGCGGTTTCAGTCTCAGGTAAAGAACAGGTCTATACTAGGATTCATAATCTAGCTGACTGGGTGACATCTACCGTCAATGTACCTTTCGTTCGCTTGAGAGGTCGTTCATAGTGAACGTTTATAAGCCTTACCATTGAGCCACTAGGGGTCTATTTGTGCATGATTCAATATATATATTATTATAGTTCCAGCTGTAAGCAACGAGAGGAATAGCTAAAGAAAGAACAGTAGTGTACATTTTGTTTTCTTTTTTCAGCGACTTTGGTTGTATCGCAGATATATTCCTTCTTCCAAAAGTAACGTTTTTGAAATGGCGAAGAGAATGACGCTGCATCGCCGTAGCGCCATCTTTGGGCAATAGTAGCAAAGGCTGACAATATATTTAAACCATAACTCAAGCTATCGTTATACCTATACGTGTTAGATAAAACCTACACAAACATCCTTGAAATGAAATGATATATCCACGTCGTTACGATTTTGTTTGTTTATATAGAAACATAAGTTTTGATATAAATAGAAGGCAATCAGAAAGGACAAAAGCTTACCAAAATCCAAAGGGAAAAATCTGGCTGTACACATCTAGTAACAAATCCATTTTAAAAGATTCACTTTCGCAATGAAGTCGGTTAACTGGAATATATGAAAAAAATAAAATAAACGTTACGAATAAGTTAAAATATTTCATATTTACAGACAGAAGTTATTCACTCCTCTGCCATACAGCGTTATAATAAACAACTAATTTCTGGTGTTCAGTCTCGTTTGTTACTCTCTACAAGCTACAGAAAACGATTAAAAGATGAAATTAATAGCCACGGGTGGCTGCAGAAGTCTGTCCTGTAAAATGTAACAATTATGTGTATCTATAAGTAGCCCGTGTGGGTGTGCAGCAGTCTACTTCTCTGTATTTTATTTCTGTTATTAAGCACAAAGCTACAAAATGGGCAATCTGTGCTCTGCCCACAGCGGGTACCGATACCTGATTTTTTTTTTACATATATCGTTGAAGCACTGGGGCTGTATTTTCTGAATGGCAACACAAGAAAACATTACAATGACGAACGTAAAAGTTCACTGCCAGATATAAAAAGCTAAGCTTTCGTATCTGTTATACGAAAAATATCTAAGATAGGAATTCCCATTGGATACGTATTTGTAAAACGAGATTTTCAGAGAGCAGCGACATGATTGATCAACTATTTTCACCTTGCGGATGGTACATAAACGATATGTAGTTGCATTTTTTTTAAAGAACGAATACAATCATTCCTAAATTCACCACTCTAGTCATCAGTATAATTATCAGATTAATTATGTTGCACATTAATTAGCTGCAACCAGCACAACAGTAAAGCCTCGTGCGCACGTACCTCCTCAATCGTTTTCTAACATGATGGGGAGTCCTTGTTATCTGTTGCAACTTGAGTTTGATTTGGTTTGAATTTCGCTCAAAGCTAAACGACGGCTATCTGCGCTAGCCATCCCTAATTTAACGGTGTAAAACTAGAGGGAAAGCAGCTAGTCATCACCACCCACCGCCAACTCTTGGGCTACTATTTTACCAATGAATATAACATTATAATGTCCCCTCGGCTGAAAAGGACGGGGATTTGAACCCGCGACCTTCAGATTGCGAGTTCTAACCATCTGACTAAAAACTTGAGACAGTGCTCAGTTACCTTTTAATTATCCATCTTTTAAAAATGCCAGTTCATCTTTTAGCCTAACAGTTCCTACCCGCTAAGCGTATCTGTTTTGTCTGTCCGTTTTCTATCCGTTTCTTTATATTTCAATTACTTTATAAAACTATTTATATAAGTAATTACTTAACACTTTACCTGTACATCTTTATATTTCGATGACTTTATAAAATTATTTATTTTATATATTTTTGTTTATATCTGTTTAACTATCTTTATTTTTTAATTCATTATTCTGTGTGAAGAAATGAAAACTGAGACTAGGCAAGGTTCGAACCCGCGATCATGTTCACAGAGCGGGTTTCTATAATCAGCCACATATTTACTGTCTTAACTAGACGTAATTATTATTTTGCGGGACAGGTTTAACGTATGCTTTCATTTATATTCGTCATACTAACTTTGCCTTTAAATACTATTTAATATACGGAATTCTTAATAAAATTATAAACGGAACATTCAGAACAAAGATACTTAAGCTTCTGTAAAATCTTTAGAGACAGTTAAACACGTTAAAAAATAGTCTAACTATAAAGATCGGAACTAAAACGAAAGTAACATTAATGACGATAACCTGTATAACAAACAAACTAAATATCCTTAATTTTATAAATCCATAAATCTGAAATCGTTAGATTCCAATTTGTCATCAGCTGTGTAACTTAACTACTTTTTCGGCTGTCATCCCAATAATACCCCATGAGGCTCGGCAAAATTTAAAAACAAAACAAAAAACTTGTATTAACCATAAATACACAGAAAACCAAAACCTAAAATATTATTCATAGATATAAATATAATTCCTCTAAGACAAGCGACCATGAGAAACAACATACTAAAATATTATTCATAGATATAAATATAATTCCTCTAAGACAAGCGACCATGAGAAACAACATATTACAACATTAAACATTTTCAACGTTCCACGAGGATATAATCTGTATACAATTTAACCCTAGAGGGCCCAATCCCACTATTCGTCGGTAAAAGAGTTGCCCAAGGGTTGGCGGTGGGTGGTGGTGATGACGAGCTGTCGTCACTCTAATCTTTCACTGCTAAATTAGGGACGCTAACGTAGATAGTCCTCGTGAGCTTTGCGCGAAATTCCGATACAAACAAAGCCACTGGAAGGTTCACATACCAAAATAATAGGAAATATGTAGTTGTCAATAACAGCATTTAATTACAGTTATGACTAATATACTAACATGGTTGAAAATATGTAAAGAATTCAACGTGATTTTTTTCCCTCTTCAGCTTTTCGGTGTACAAAACATACACTTTGGCATGCACTGTGCAGGGTAACCTTGAAATGTAAACAGAAAATAGCAGCGCGCTAAAATGCAAACACACTGGCTCGAATCCAATTACTTGGCAAGACGAAAACAATACCGTCCTCATCATAATAGTTCGGATAGACAATGACAATTCTAATAATAACGTACTTCCGGTTCTTTTCGGAATTATATGAGCACATCTGTAAAGCAATTTCTTATTTGTCGTCGTCTTATAAAAATAATAATTGGCATACATTTACATCAACGAACACTTCCTGCACACGGTTACATTAACGAATACTTCCTGCACATGGTTACATTAACGATCACTTCCTGCACATGGTTACATTAACGAATACTTCCTGCACATGGTTACATCAACGAACACTTCCTGCACATAGAACTAGAACAGTAGAAAGCAAACGTCTTCCTGGTAAACCAAACAGATACATGCATATAATAGAACTAGAACAGTAGAAAGCAAGTGTCTTCCTGGTAAACCAAACAGATACGTGCATATAATAGAACTAGAAAAGTAGAAAGCAAACGTCTTCCTGGTAAACCAAACAGATACGTGCATATAATAGAACTAGAACAGTAGAAAGCAAACGTCTTCCTGGTAAACCAAACAGATACGTGCATATAATAGAACTAGAACAGTAGAAAGCAAACGTCTTCCTGGTAAACCAAACAGATACGTGCATATAATTGAACTAGAACAGTAGAAAGCAAACGTCTTCCTGGTAAACCGGATACGTGCATATAATAGAACTAGAACAGTAGAAAGCAAACGTCTTCCTGGTAAACCAAACAAATA